TGGGAGCAGAAGAGTCTCCGGGAGCTGTAGAGCAGTTAGCCAGGCGCTCAGCGCAAAGAAGAGAGGGCGCTCAGGCAGGCGCTCGGTGCAAAGGCCCTGCGGTGGGAAGGCGTTACGGAAGGGGTAGTGAGGAGGTTGGCGAAGGGAGAGATAACGCCAAAAACGGACCTTGTTGGGCCCTGGGGCGGGGGGGGTGGTGGGGGGGTGGGGGGAGATAGACGGGGAATTGGATTCTGAGAGGGAAGGGAAAGCCGGCTAGGTAAGTAAATAGGCCTGGATCCTATTCACGTTGTAAGGTCGCCCTCTGGCGGCCGCATGGAGAACGGGCAGAGAGATGGGAGGAGTCCACCCTCAGGTTTATTCGGCACTCACAGCCAGGCCGGTCTTGGTCAGACGAGCGGCCTCCTGTGTTCCTGTCTCAGTGTCCCCTTCGGTGAAATGGGGACAAGATAGCCCAGACCTTCTGAGAGCGCCCCCTACGTGGACATCGTCCTCAGCGCTTTGCGCCGATGTGCTCACAGGATTCCTCCTGAGCCGTACTTTCTTTTTTTTTTTTTTCTTTTTTTTTCTTTTTTTTATTCTTATGTTAATCCCCATACATTACAACATTAGTTTTAGATGAAGTGTTCCATGATTCATTGTTTGTGCATAACACCCAGTGCTCCATGCAGAATGTGCCCTCCTCAATACCCACCACCAGGCTAACCCATCCTCCCACCCCCCTCCCCTCTAGAACCCTGTTTGTTTTTCAGAGTCCATCGTCTCTCATGGTTCGTCTACCCCTCCTATTTCCCCCGCTTCATTCTTCCCCTCCCGCTACCTTCTTCTTCTTCTTTTTTTTTTCCTTAACATATATTGCATTATTTGTTTCAGAGGTACAGATCTGAGATTCAACAGTCTTGCACAATTCACAGCGCTTACCAGAGCACATACCCTCCCCAGTGTCTATCACCCAGTCCCCCCATCCCTCCCACCCCAACCCCCACTCCAACAACACTCAGTTTGTTTCCTGCGATTAAGAATTCCTCATATCAGTGAGATCATATGATACATGTCTTTCTCTGTTTGACTTATTTCACTCAACATAATACCCTCCAGTTCCATCCATGTCGTTGCAAATGGCAAGATCTCATTCCTTTTGATGGCTGCATAATATTCCATTGTGTATATATACCACATCTTCTTTATCCATTCATCTGTCGATGGACATCTTGTGAGCCGTACTTTCTATTCCCGCTTCACAGGGACGCATTGCGAGAAGAGACAAGTTGAGTAACAATAACAGTAATAGTGATGAATGAGATCCCGTTCCTTGCCCTGAGCCCGGCCCTTTACGTGGATCAGCGCTTGGACAGCACAACCACAAGGTGAGGGGTGTCTTATGTCCTTGGGAGAGGCGGGTCTCGGGGGCCCCCAGCTCTGTGTTCTCTGCAGTGTCTGCGGGCCACGGCGATCCCTGGTGGTCGGTGGCGGGATACAGCGGCTGGACCTCTGACACCCCCACCCTCATCTCCTCCCGGTGCTGTGTCCTCCACTTCCCTCTCCTGATGGGTCCCCTCTCAGGTGAAACCTCTGATCATGCATGCACCGCCAAGCCCCCAGGTTGGTGGGATGATAATGAGCAGGACTGACTGAGAAGAGTGGTCAGAGTTTCAAGGGCTCCAACTCCTGTCCCTACACCAGCCTCTTTGGAATTTTTTATTTATTTTTATTTTTTAAATTAAATTTAATTTTTAAAAATTAACATATAATGTATTGTTTGTTTCAGGGGTACAGGTCTGTGGCTCATCAGTCTTAAACAATACACAGCGCTCACCATACATAGCACATACCCTCCCCAATGTCCATCACCCAGTCACCCCATCCCTCCCACCCCCTCCACTCCAGCAACCCTCAGTTTGTTTCCTGAGATTGTCTCTTATGGTTTGTCTCCTTCTCTGATTTTGTCTTGTTTCATTTTTTCCTCTCTTCCCCTATGATCCTCTGCCTTGTTTCTCAAATTCCATATATCGATGAGATCATATGGTACATGTCTTTCTCTGATTGACTTATTTCGCTTAGCATAATACCCTCTAGTTCCATCCACGTCGTTGCAAATGGCAAGATTTCACTTTTTATGGCTGCATAATATTCCAGTGTGTGTGTGTGTGTGTGTGTGTATGTGTATCTCACATCTTCTTTATCCATTCATCTGTCGATGGATATCTAGGCTCTTTCCATAGTCTGGCTATTATGGACATTGCTGCTATAAACATCGGGGTGTACGTGCCCCTTCGGATCACTACATTTGTATCTCTGGGGTAAATACCCAGTAGTGCAATTAGGTCATATGGTAGCTCTATTTTCAACTTTTTGAGGAACCTCCATACTGTTTTCCAGAGTGGTTGCACCAGCTTGCATTCCCATGGAATTTTTTAAATGCAAACTACCCAAGGGTATAAGGAGAAACAAGAGACTGCCTTCCATGCCAAGCCCCAGGCCCCTGGTTCCTTCCCTAGAGGCCACAGCTGTGACTTGTGTCTCCTTCCAGAGATATTTGGATAAAAGTCTCCCCCCCCCATTTCAAAAATGTACATAAACTCTCACTCTCAGTACTCTTTACACTAATGCACCATGGAGGAAAAGTCACTTCTGCCTTTTTAACAGTTTTATAGTATTCCACTGCATGGCTGGGGAACCATTGATTTAAACAGTCTTCAATTGACAATTGTTTTCAGTATTTTGCAGTTACAAAAAATGTGGCGAGAAATGCATTCATTTTGCGTTTCTCATACACATATATTTGTATACTTGTAGACATGTATCTATAGAAAATTCTTAGAAGAGAAATTGAGGAGAAAGGTGTGTGCATTTTTAATATTCATATATTCTAGAAAATTGCCCTCTTGAGCAGCTGCATGGATGAGCAGTCCCAGGAGTACTGCCTTCAGGATCACAGGCCTGGCTCTGCCGGTATCTGTGGGTCACGAAGCCTCTGAGCCCCAGCGTCCCCATCTGTCGCATGGAGACGCCATCAGCACCCATTCCGCTTGCATGGCCAGCTCAGGGGTGCCGAGTGACTCCTCTGCACTCTTGTAAGATTTATGGCTCGATGATTGTTGTGCGGCCACATTTTAGGCGGTTTTTTAAAAAGATTGATTGATTGATTGATTGAAGAGAGCACAAGCGGGAGGGGCAGAGGGAGAGGGAGAGAGAAACTCAAGCAGACTCCGCGCTGAGCAGGGAGCCTGATTCGAGGTTCGATCTCAGGACCCTGAAATCAAGACCTGAGCCGAGAACACGAGTCGGAGGCTCAACCGACTGCCCCCTTCAGGCGCCCCTAGGCGGTTTTGAATAGCACAATAGAAAATGTTAATAAAGTGCGACTTTATGTGCAGAATTTGAGCTAAAGCATTCCTTCAAATTAAAACTCCCCCAAAAGACCCAGCTCCAGGCCTGTGGCCCAGAGAAGCACGGTGCGAATTCGCACCGTGGCCACAAGAGGGCGCCCGTGAGCGGAGGCCCAGCCGTGGGAGGGCGGCTGCGCCCGCCTGGGACCCTCCAGTCGCGCTTTGTCTGTTTCCTGGGGAGCGCGGGGTCTCGCTGGCTTCCACGCCCGCACCCTCCGCCTCTCCCTCACACCTCTCTGTTGCCCAGACGACCTGTCCTGGCGCATCCCACCTTCCCCCACCGCCAAGACCTCCCCAGGGCTCGCTGCCCCAGTTTCCCTCCCACGTGGCGCGGCCCCTGGCCATCTTCGCAGGGAATCTCCTCCGCACCCGATTGTGCTCTCGAAGCTCTGGGTGGTCCCATCGCCCCACTCAACGCACGCCGCCCCGCCTGGCCGTCACTTCTGCTCCTGGAATCTAGCCTTCTGTCTTCCATGACGTCCTCTCTCGTCCGGACTTTCACGTTTCTCTCTCCTGAACACAACCAATACATCCAGCTGTGTGACGGACACCCCGACCCTGACGGTCCACAGCTGAGCTACCTTCCCCCCCGCGCCCCCCCCCCGCCCCGGCATCCTAGCTATTCTCCCTGTGGCTCAGGCCACCCCCCTCCCACTCAACAGCAAGTCAGGTATGTCCTCACCCCACCCCGCCCGACCCTGCCTGCATCCCCCCCTCCCCGGGTGACCACAGGACCTGCTAACGGCCCCCCCTCCCACAGTCGGCTCTCTGCTCAACAGCTGGGAGGCCTGTGAAGACCCAGCCCCCGTGGCGCCCCCTGAACCGGCTGGCCCCTCTCGCCTTTCCCAGCTGTGTGGGCACCTAGGCCAGTGCCCAGCCTCCCCGCCCCGCCTTCTGCACGCCCCCTGGCTCACCTCCCTAAGGTCTCGTCTCAAAGCCACCTTCTCCGGTGGGCTATTGTCATAAAACGGAATGAAGCCCTGACACACGCCACAACGTGAACCTCGCAAACGTTGATGCTGAGTGAGAGAAGCCTGTCACAAAAGGCCACAGAGTGTATGATTCCACTGACAGGAAACGTCCAGAACAGGCAAGTCCATAGACACGGAAAGCAGATTGGTGCTTGCCAGGGGCTGGGAGAGGGGGCTGCGGAGTGACTGCTCGTGGGGACTGGGTATCCTTTGGAGTGAAGGAAATGTTTTGGAACTAGATACAGGTGGTGATTTCACAATCACGTTGTGAATGTAATCCATGCCACTGGATTCTTCTCTTAAAATGGCTAAAATGGCAAATTTTATGTTACATATATTTTATCACAATTTGTAAAAAGAAAGGAGAGGGGCACCTAGGTGGCTCAGTCGTTAAGCATCTGCCTTCAGCTCAGGTCATGATCCCAGGGTCCTGGGATTGAGGCCGAGTTGGGCTCCCTGCTCAGCAGGGTGTCTGCTTCTCCCTCTGCCCCTCCCCACCCACTGTGCTCTAAGAAAGGAAGGAAGGAAGGAAGGAAGGAGGAAGGAAGGAAGGAAGGAAGGAAGGAAGGAAGGAAGGAAGGAAGGAAGGAAGGAGGCAAAAAGAAAGGGGAAAAAGGCACCTTCTCCCAGAGGCTGGCCCTGAGCCCACCCCAGACTTCTGGTCATGTTTATTCTCTTTTTTTTCTCTGGAATGTCATTTCGCTCAAGCAGGGCCCTGGTCTGTCAGTGAATCTTGGGCTGCAGGAAGCCAGGAGGCGGGCCGGCTGGACGTGAGGACCGGCACCTCAGACAGGAGAGCGAGTCAGCTGCCACCTTCCGGCTGCAGATGACAGAAAACCCAAATCAAGCCTTGCGAGGAGGAAAGCCTCGAGCACGTGCAGGGCTGGTCCTCAGCTGGCACCTGAGCAGACCCAGCCAGGGACAGAGACACCGAGCTGAGCGGCACCGTGGGCCACAGCTGTAAAATGGGAACCAGCTAAACGTTCAGCGCCGAGGCCAAGAGGCTCCTGCCTTGGCGCTTCATTCACTGGAGGAAAACCCTGGCCAGCGTGTCAGTGGAGAACGGCAGAACTTCTATTAACAGAAAAAAATACAAACCCAACGCCCAGGGAAGTTCGGAGCTCACCGCAGGCGGAAATCAAGAGCATATGGAATGAGGCGACAGAAGAGAGTGGGGAAGGCAGTGTCCGGGGGGCCGGCGCATGAAGGGACACAGGAGAGGACAGAACTGCAACGCCAACACCGCGCCACCCGGCCCCGCCCCACACTGCCATCGCCAGGAACAAATCTGGTGTGAACAACATCGACGTGAAAATAAGTCCAAAACTTTAATGGGAGACTTTGTGACAAGTCCTAGAAGAAACAATTCACAGTCTTAGCATAAAATTACTATTAAAAAACCTAACTGAATTGAGAAAATGAGCAGCATCTCAGCCCATTTCAGGGCCCGGCCGGCAAGCAAAGGATGGCACCCGCCGCCTGCTGCGCTTCTGGGTTTTTGAGGTAATCATCAGCTGCACGCGCAGTAAAGACTCGAGTGCCCGCAAACCACGGCAGGCCACCCGGTCTGCTTTTCTGCTCATCCCCAAAACTTAATTAGATGCGTCTGAGTTGATGCTGCTGGGGTCTCCAGCAGGCGAAGCGGCGGACACTGGGGGGGCGGCTCCCTGGTAGCTGCCCCGGGCCTGAAAGACAGAGACTGAGCATCAGAAGGCCACGGATGGCCCGCCCCCCCTCCCACATCCCCCGAGAAGAGCCCAGAAAAGGAGCCAGGAGCCAGCGGAGGGACTGAGGGGCCCTGTTGGGTCACAGCTGGCCTTGCCGCCTGAGCCCTGATAGGGACGCGCTTCCCCAGCGGGAAGGGGGCTCCACTGGCCACCCACCAGGGCTCTGGTCAAGGACTGATGTGGCATTGTGGTGCAGCCAAGGCTTCTGCACATTCTGAGGGGGAGACAGACCCAGTCCGGCCTGGAGCTGATGACGGTCCCTGAATCATCATGGCCGGAGGCAGTGAGCCAGACGGGCTTGGAAACCCGGCTGGACACTGGGTCTGCCTGGGCAGCCAGAAAGGTAGCAGCCACAGTTCCCAGGCACAGGGGCTCTGTCTGCGGTGTGGGGACAGTGGCGGGTACACACGGCCTTAGGATGTTTGTCCACAGGACCCCCCCCCCCCACCAACTGCAATGGAAAACATCACTGAAAATGGCTCTTCGAGGGCGGTCTGCTCTGTGGTGAGGCCTGTTTGCAGCCCACGAGAGCAGGGCCACTCCCCTTCCCAACCCGCGCTGCAGGGTGGCTTCCGTCCGAGCCACCTGCTCCCAGGTGTGCAGATGTCACACCCTGCATGTGACCCTGAGGGCTCACTCGGCTCCTCCTGCGCTGGCAGGCGGCCACACGAGTTCCTCCTTCCCTTCCTGTCTCTAGCACTTTCCCTTACAGGCTGAGCCCTCCGGCTGGTGCCTCTACCTCATCTGATCCCACCAGGTCAAGGACCCTGCCCCCGCCCCTCCCCGCCTCAGCTCTTCCCTCGCCACGTGTCCCCCAGCACTGTCACAGCACCTGCACTTCAGAGGTCAGGGTCACGTGAACAGACGGACAGACTGCTGTATTCCTGAGAGGGCTGCCTCACCCCGTGACATGGGGATGCCCGGCCCCTCCGACTGGAAGAGGCTGTGATGAGCACCGGCCTCAGAGGGACACCCTGCCCTCGAAGGACACCCGCAGGCCTGTGTTCTGGGAAGGGGGCCATGGGTGGTGAAGGGAGGGGTCTGTCCACAGGACTGAGGGGTGACAGGCTAGGGTCCAGGTGTGGGACTGGCAGCCAAAGGGCAGCCCAGACGTTCCTCGGGTCACAGGGTGGAGGCGATAGCTTCCGGCCAGGCGGCCTCAGCCCTCGGGACGGCTCTCTTGAAAGAGCAACTGTGCCCCCCCAGCACCAGACCAAGGACATTCCACTTCCTCTGTGGGGCGGGTAGAACCCTGCCTCATGGTCCAGGGAAGCCCCATCGGGACTTGGGCAGCTCCAGATCTCCTGGGGCTGGTTCTAGGGGTAAGGATGGACCTAGTCTATCAGCTCCCCACTCTCATACTCACACCCATCATAGCTGAGGCACTGAGCCCCAGGAAGGCACAGAGCAAGACGAGGCTGGGCCACTTGGTGGCGCCAGAGCTCCCTGCTCTGCCCAGGTGCTCACAATGGGCTGTGGGGTTACCGTGGCGATGCATGGCCCTGCACCAGGTCCTGCCAAATGGCCCCAGCAGGCATCCATTCCCTGCACCAACTAGGGGCTGCGGGTGAATCAGTGGGGGTCAGCCGGCACGGTAGGGTACACTCCTGTGAAGGAAAAGGTGGGCTAAGGCCTTGCCGATGCCACCCAGCCTTGCCCCCGCATGGACACATCACAGCTGTACCTGTGCGGCCTCTTCAGGATGACCCTGCCTGTGGGCCAGGCCCTGGTGACAGACGGCGGGATGCTGGGGAGGCACCAGGGGCCATGAGAGGGATAGGGGCCCCCAATCCTGGCTAGCCCAACACACTGCCTAACACCCTGAGAAAGTTCCAGAGGGCATGTCTGAGATGCCCGTGATCCCTGGCTCATTTTCTTCCCAGTCACCAAAATGGATCTTCACTTTGGCCTAGCTGGGCCCCGGGTGAGGGGACAGCAGGCTGGCAAGGCCAAGGCACTGATGTGGTGGAGGGTCTGAGCCTAGTAGGGCTCCATGTTCCAATGGTCAGAGCCTTGTCTGCCTGTCCCCTCCCCCCACTGAGGGTCCAGATGCCCGCTGGGAGGGAGGGCTCCTTCCCAACAGCCACAGCCCTTGCCTCGGGCCCACCACTCAGCAGCTACTGGGAGTTACTGAGTCCTGGGACTGGGAGTGAAGGGCGCAGGTCTTTGCAAAGTGGGCCCCACAGAGCCATGCCCCTGAGGCCAGTCGGCCAACCTGTAGTCATCAAGACAACAGACCAAGTACCCAGTGGGCCCTTCCTCATTGCTGGCACCTCTGAGAGAGCCTTGTGGAGGCTGAGAGGTGGCTGGCAAGATTCCCAGGACCCACCACCCACCTGGGCTCTGCATCTCTGCCCCAACACTGAGTCAGGGACCCCAAGGGCATCCTTGGATTGTGCCCTGAGACTCACCTGGGACCGCAAGCTGCCTCCCGCAGGGGCGGGGCGGAGAGAGGCCAGTGTCTGCAGGGTGATAAGCGCATCCCCGGCACTGGTCAGCGGGAAGGGACCAGAGGGACCTAGAAGGGGTGGGAGGTGTCAGGACAAGTGTTCCAGCCCCCAAAGTTACAGAGGCTCCTCAGGTGGGATCTGCCAGCCCCTCAGCCAGGAATGCAGCTCCCACCGGCCTCAGCTCCAGAGAGAAGGTCTCCTGCAGCCCCTTCCCGCGCAGCTCAGCGGCCATGCATGAAGGACAGTCCTTGGGCTGGGAAGCCTCACTCACCGGGGCTGGGTGTTGATGGGCAGCTAGCCTGGCTCCCCAGGCCCCCGACTTTGGTGGCGTCGACTTCCATTTTAGTCGTATAAATGGTAGCCTCTTCTTGAAACTTCCCCATGTTCTTTTTATATCGGATTCTTTTGTTGCCGAACCAGTTGGAGACCTGTGGACACACAGAGAAAGAAGTCGCTGGAAAAGCTGACCCAGTAATGAGATAACGTGAACATATGGTGGGCTCTCTCTGAGGTACCCGTGCTCCCACGGCCAGGAGGAACATCTCTGAGTGGCAACACGAAGCAATGGGGCTGGGCAAGAGGCCGGGACCGAGAAGCCGGCGCTGACTGAACTGTGGACCCAAGGAAATGGCACCAGGGGCCATGAGAGGGATAGGGGCTGCAGGAGGTGGAGGTCACCCCGAGCAGGCCTGTCCTACCAGGTGCTGCTGGGACAGGAGCGGGAAGGAGCTGGAAGGAAACAGCATGTCTGACATGTGGAGAGCCGAGCGTCCATTCCCTGCAGGGGCAGGAACAGACTAAATTCTGGATTGATCTTTAGGGAAAGTGGCAGGGAGCCACGCGTCCCCGGGGACCCAGTAACCCCACTCCTGGGAATTCAGTCTAAGGAAAGACCACACCAGATCCACAACTTCTCAAAGGATGACACGGACGGACGAACTGAGAGGGCAGTGGGGAGGAGCCAAGCGCTGAGCTAAGTGCCTGTCATGTCCTCGGAGCAGCTGGGGACAGCCGCGGTCACAGCCATCCTATAAGCCAGCAGGCTCGGCAAGTGCAGGAGCCCTGGGGCCGAGCGGGGCTGAGCCCAGCTGACCCCAAACCTGCACCAGGACCAGGCCAGGACTTCTCGTCATGGGCACTGTGGGGTGCTGAGCAGCACCCCTGGCCTCCACCCACCAGATGCCAGCAGCACCCCACCCAAGGGTTGTGACAATGAAAATTTCCCCTGGGGACAGAATCAGTAAGCCCCTGGGCCAGTGCCTTCCTATGGAGACGGGCACGACTGGAAACACTTCAATATCCCAAAGTAAGGCCTGGGGCCCTGCAGTGACGTATGTGTGGTTTAACCAACAGAAATAACAGTGGCAGGGTTTTGATGATCTTTTCTTTGAAAATGTATTTCTTTAATGTCCCTACCCAGGTGCTCCACGTTATCTTCCCCACGTTAGCCACGAAACGAAAAAGCCCCGTGTGTGCTCCTGCCCCTCGCAGTGTCTCCTCCCGCCTGCCCCCGGGTGTGAGGGTGGCCAGAGCAGCACTCGGTTCCCTCTACGTACAAGGAATGTGCTGGAACATCTTTATGGAACTGAGTCTGCAGAGGAATGGCAGCAAGCAGTTTTCCATGGTAACTCAACTGGCATGTTAGGGGGGCAGACAGCAAGCCTCCCATGTGGGCGAGGCAGGGAGGCTGGCCCTGTTCTGGGCAGATGGGGGACCCAGGGGCTGGGGGAGAGCTGGTCCTGGGCCAGTGTCCGCCCTGTCCATGGGGAGCACCCCAACACGGGCACGTCAAGCAGGTGCGGACACGGCCTAGGCTCTCAGATACCCTCTCCGTAGGTGTGGCCCGGAGCCACCAGCCGCCCCTGCCCAGTCTCTCTGGCCCATCCGGCCAAGCCCGCTGCAGCTGGTGCCCAGGTTCCGCCCGACTCCCCATCCATGGTTCGGCAACCCTGCTCCTTTCTCCCTCACGCCTCAGCTGCAGCAGCAGCTGATCCTATCTTGAAAACGTCTGTGGCCTCATGAGTGATACCCTTTGCCCTCAGGGTGCCCCCATTACCTTCTCCTTAGGTGGACCTCCCAGCTTGCACATCTGCACCCTAAATTCAGAGCCCCCCTCAACTGTCAGCCATTTCATGCTATCCCGAGACCTGGTGGACCCGCCACCGTGGGGAAGGGGCTCCCAGCACAGAATTCTGCTGCTGGTCGGTGTGTGTGTCGGGGGGAGTCTTAGGGCCCGACCATAGAGGGGAAGTCACTGGAACGTGGCTAGTGCTTTTCAAACTTTTGTTGGCAACTGACCCTCTCCTCAGATGAAGTCTAGACCCAACACCCATCTGCCTTCCAGGGGCGCCAGAGCCTGAAACGAATCGGGCTGTTCCTCAGCTGCACGAGGTAGCAGACAAGCTGTGGCGCCTCACGCTTCTTCGGGGCCTTGAGGCCCCAGAGGTGCGCCCCTCGCTTCAGCGCTGGCCTCGTGCCGAGGACGCCAGAGAGGTCCAGGGTGATGGAAGTCAGATGGGACTGCGACACCTGCAAGGTTCTGCTGCCGGGGGGCCCCGGGACTTGTCGCAGCTGGACTTGGCTGGGGCCGGGACACAGTCTGGCTAAGGGCACGGGCTCTGGAGGCAGCCAGACTGGGCTGGAAACTCTTCAAGGGCACAGTGGGTGAGGATCAGTGGCCTAGCATTGGCGTGGTCGGCCCTGCTGCCAGACGCTCGGGGGGTGCTGCCCCGGGAGTGCGGCCTGCCCCTGCCCCGTGAGCCGCCTGTACTCGCCATTCCCACTTTATTTTTTTAAAGATTTTATTTATTTATTTGACAGAGAGAGAGATAGCGAGAGAGGGAACACAAGCAGGGGGAGCGGGAGAGGGAGAAGCGGGCTTCCCGCGGAGCAGGGAGCCTGATGTGGGGCTCGATCCCAGGACCCTGGGATCATGACCTAAGCCGAAGGCAGACGCTTAATGACTGAGCCACCCAGGCACCCCACCATTCCCACTTTAAAACCTTCTGAGATGTTTCTTGGGTTCTCCCCTCAGGTCCCCCTCCCTTGCTTCCAGTTCCACCGAGGACACTGGAGGTCCAGACTGCCAGGGCCTCCCAAGGCTGTCCAGGTCTCATCTCCAATCTGTACCCCCACCCACCCTCCACGTGGAGCCAGATGTTGCCCGGTATTGCACAACCCTGCCACGTGCTCTGGACCGCTGGAGAAACAATCAAGCATGCATGCATCCGAACTTCTCCCAGTACAGCTGAACTGGTACTGTGGCATGAGAGCTGGTCTATCACTTCCAGTCCTAATTCTGCTCCAAGTTGTTTTTCTCTTCCTTGCTAACACGTGCTCCGCTCTCTCATGCAGCACACGACATCCCTGTGATACAACTGTGGTGCTCAGTCCCGACGGCCAGACTCTACACTCCACTGATGCTGCCTCAGGGACCTCACACTCCACCCACGGGCTCCACACAGTTAATGAACTTCCTTGGGCATCCTCCTCACTGGACACGACCTTCTCCCCCTCCTCCATGCAGGGAGGCCCATCACCTGGGACACTGTGATGCCGCCCTTCCTGGCCAGCTCTTCTTTGGCTTCTTCGCTGGGGTAAGGGTTGCTCAGATGGGAGTAAAAATACTCATTCAGCACTTCGGTGGCCTGCTTGCTGAAGTTCCGCCGCTTGCGCCTGCAAAGACCCATCTTCTCAGCCTCAGCCAGCGTGCACCCCAGCCTCTAGGGACGCCCCTGTGTCCCCATATGTGATTTCCTAGAGGTCAGCACTTTTTTTTTTTAAGATTTTATTTATTTGAGAGAGAGAGAGAGAGAGCACAAGCAGGGGGAGAGGGAGAAGCAGACTCCCCGCTGAGCAGGGAGCTTGATGCGGGGCTCGATCCCAGGACCCCAAGATCATGACCTGAGCAGAAGGCAGATGCTTAACCCACTGAGCACCCAGGTGCCCCAAGGTCAGCACTTCTGATCGCCTCCCAAGAGGCTGTGTGAGGGCTGCACCCCTGGCCACAGCTGGAGCCCCAGGACAGGCTGGGAGGCCCCCAGAACTTAAACCCAAGCCAGCTGCAATTTGGTTCTTCTTCTTAAGAGCCAACCCTGGGGTCATGGGCAGTATGTAGGGCCTGACCTGGCATCGAGGAACCGTGAACGCAGGGTCATCACAGCCTCGCAGGTGCTCTGCTTCAACTGCATCTGGATGGCATTGAACTTGCCGTGGATGACACTGACCATGCGCTCGATCTCCTTGGGCGAGACAGGCCTCATCCTGCTCTGCTCCCGGAGAAGGTTGGTGACGTGCGTGGTGAACTCACGGCAGGCCTGGGGTGGGGACACACGTGCCAGCCTGTGACTACCCAGCAGGCTGGCTCGGGGCTCCACGCGGGACCAACCACCTGCCGCCCACCCCGCAGCTCCCACACAGGCTGGCTACTGAGAAGTGAATGCAAAGGGTTTCCAGCAAAATCGGCCACCTCTGCCATGAGACCAAGTGCATGTACTCTCTGGTCTGTGCCACAAAAGGAAGTGGTTAGCGTTCCATGTTTTGCTTTGACAAATGTGCATTCACATGATAGAAACTCTTCCATGCAGAAAGATCACCTGTTCATATTTCTCTAGCTCAGAGTGGTAAATCTGTCGGATCTGGGACAGCTTGGCCCTGTAGTCAGAGTGCTCAAGGCTATTGTCATTTGGACAGCCACCTGGTGTTGCTGTGTTGGCCACTGCCGCCGATCCTCCTCTTCCTCGCCTCTCCGGCCTGGATACACCCTCGGCCAGCAGCATGTTATCCAGCCTCATGAGCTGAGCACTGGGGGGACCTTCTTCTTGAATGCCATGGATGCTTAACACTAGATAAGAGAGATGAGACTGAATCAGTGTCCACTGTCCAAGAGAAAACAACCACAACAGGTGATTAGCACTGGCATCATATCTGAACCCCTGAGGGGAAAGGAAAGTTTCCTTTTATCTGGTAAGAGACACCGAGTTACCCACTTTGACAGTGGTCCAGGTGCCACACAGGCCTGTAGTCCGGGGAGTGCACACAGGCCACCGTTCAGCACAGCCATGTGGGCGGAACTTAAGAGTCCACAGCCGGGCACCCATGGGAGACCTGGGCGGGGCAGGTTTGGGGTGGCACCCGGGACTGGAGAAGCCCAAAGCCCTGAGCCGTGTGTCTAGAAGGGAGGGGAGGGCACAGGTCCAGATGCTCACATGAGCACAGGCGTGGACATGAATGTGAACGGCAGCCTGGTGTCAGTACAGGGCTGTGTTGTGACGATGTATGTCAGAGAGGGCAACTGTTGCTGTAAAGTCAGGAGGGACGCCTGGGTGGCTCAGTTGGTTAAGCGTCTGCCTTGGGCTCAGGTCATGATCCCGGAGTCCCAGGATCGAGCCCCACATTGGGCTCCCCGCTGAGCAGGGAGTCTGCTTCTCCTGACCCTCCCCCCTCTCAAGTTCTCTCCCTCACTCTCTCTCGAATAAATAAATAAAATCTTAAAAAAAAAAAAAGTCAGAGAGGTAAAGCTTGATCTAGAGGGTACCAGAAAAGATGAACTAATCCACTTAGAGATTTTAAACAGAAAAACAAGACATTTGGCCCTAAAACTTGGGAGGCTGGGCCTCAGCTGGGCTAAGAGGGGGCACCCGCTGGGGGCAGGGCTGGATGGGCAGAGGAGACAGTGGGGAGAGCTGCCACTGTCCAGGTGGACACAGGACAGCCAGAGGGAGAGTCCCCAGGATCCCTGAGCACCGGATATGGGTGTGAGAGAAAGAGGCCAGGGCAACTCCCAAGGTCATATGGGCAGCGTCACGGATGGCACCCCATTCTCCCAAGCACAGTGTGCAGAGTGGCCTGACCCATCCTGAGTCCCTGACCCGGCCAAGCACAGATGCGAGGTAGCTGCTTACTGGGAGTTGGGGATGGACGGACCAGTTTGGGTGGGAGACAGATATTCATGTGTCATCTGCATATGGTGTGTTTGGGACATCTGTATGTATCCACCTGTGCACGCAGCTCTACTTATGAGAAGTAGGCCATGGCCTCTGAATGCTGGAAAACCAACATAAGGGATAGGCAAAGGAGGAGATGGAACGAATGATCAGGTAGGTCAAGGAAGAACCAGAAGTAGTCACGGGGGTGACTACCGTGAAGGGCTTAGTCATTAGGAGACTGCTGTTAACCTCTGCAAAAGCGCTGTAGGGTCTGGTGGGGTAGAAGCTGACTAGAAAGCTCCAGAGGACCGTGGGAGCCAGGCAGTGCAGGGAGGGAAAGCCTGCTGCAGGGGCTGCAGAGCGAGGCTCAGAGCCGAGGAGGGTGGTCTTGCAGGAGCTGAATTTTGTTTGTTTCTTCAGTGACAGAAGAAGTGTCTGTGACCACAGAGAAAGCAACAGGTGGACAATCATGGGGGGCGGAGGAGTGGCCCTGAGGGGAGGGAGGAGGCAGGGGATTGGGAAGGAGGTGATGATGTGCATCTAGTTCTGACTTCCCAGAAAAACAAAGTTTAAAGTGTTTTCTTGGGAACAGGCTCCTTCCCTACTATCAGCTACTAACAGACTTAAATGTTCAAATGAAAAAGGAGTGGAGCCCTAGCAGAGATATTTATGTATCACTTGTCCCTTTCCTGTTCCCTGCATAAAGGATTGACCTTTTTTTTTTCCAAGATTTTATTTATTCACTTGAGACACAGAGATACAGAGAGAGAGAGAGCATGAGCAGGGGCGGAGGCAGAGGGAGAGGGAGAAGCAGGCTCCCCGCTGAGCCAGGAGCCCGATGTGGGGCTCGATTCCAGGACCCTGGAATCATGACCTGAGCTGAAGGCAGACGCTCAACCATCTGAGCCACCCAGGCGCCCCATGGATTGAACTTTTCTGTCATAGATTTACTTGTGAAAACTGAAGGAGCTCAAAAGGTATCCTTGTAGGAATTTTCCTCATGTGTGGGGACTCAGTCCCTCTGGGTCGCAGGGAGGTGCTTTCTGAAAGAGCTGAGGGAGAGGGACCCTCCATCAGTGCCTCCATCACAACCTTACGTGATCTTCAAGGGCACCGGAAGTGAATCTTAGTTCCCGTGCTCAACCAGGACGGGGCTCCTGGGGCGCACATACCCTCATCTGGTCCTTGCAGACGCCAGCTGAAGCTAAGCGGCTGGGGGTTCCTGGACGGGCCCTAAGTCTGCTCTACAATTAACCTGTACCGCCTGGTCTTGGTACAGTCCCCTGCTCCCCTAATCTCTCTTTGCCCAGAGTAGATAATGGATGCCCTCCTGCTCAGGTCCCTCTGTTTTCAAATCCTACTGATTCTACCTCCTCAATCAACTCACCATCCATCCTCTCCCTTAATGCCATTCCTGGGTCCTGCTGCGCTCACCTCTCCCCTGCCCTCCACGATCCGTGGAGGAAATCCCTCTCTCTGCCCCATCCACCGTGCACACCTGCAAGCTGACCACCTTCAAACACTGTGTTCATCATTCCAGTCCTGTTCAAAGACTACAACAACTCCCGGGCACCCTCGGATAAAACCTAGAGTCTGACACCTGGCCCTCAGGGACTTGCCTGACATCCTTCCAAACTCACCTTCGTGAACTTTCCCTCTGCTGGGCCCTGCGCATGGCCCTTTGACAGCAGACACTCTGTTCCTGTATCAGGTTTATTCCGCAGCTGTCCCCCAAGTGCCTGTGGTCCAGCAGGGGGACCAGGAGCAGGCCAAGAGGGACACACAGGACCCGGCATCCTCTGATGCGCAGGTTGGGGGAGAGGCTACCTCCTCACCTTCCATTATGGCTTAGTTAAGTCAGGGAAAGGAGTGCTCAGGTTGGAACACGAGGCTTAGTGAAGGCATGTGTGTGCACGCAGAGGGTGGGTGCACGTGAGGGTAAGTGTGTCTGTGTGTGCCCCGTGTGCGTGTATAACTCTGGGCTGCTGCAGGGCGTGTGGCAGTCTTTCTCCTGTTCTTTACCCAACAGCAGGCATCTGGGAGCCCATTACAAGCCGAGTACCATACCCAGTGTTGAGGGTTTTTAAAAATATACCAAAAAAACCCCACATGGAACTTGTCTTTCTCAAATGAAAATTCTCAAATCACGGAGAATACGCAAGCCTTTCCTCACATTTGTCTATAGGTATGTATTGGTGCAGGCTTTCTTGGAGGTGAGTTTTGAAATGCTGATTAACAATGAAAAAGTGGGTGGCTCAGTTGGTTGAGCGACTGCCTTCAGCTCAGGTCATGATCCCAGGGTCCTGGGATCGAGTCCCACATCGGGCTCCCTGCTCGGCGGGAAGCCTGCTTCTCCCTCTCCCACTCCCCCTGCTTGTGTTCCCTCTCTCGCTGTGTCTCTCTCTGTCAAATAAATAAATAAAATCTTTAAAAAAAAAAAAAAATGAAAAAGTGCATATCCTTTGACCTTCAAATTATTGTTCTGAGAGTCTGTCCCACAAGAACACTGACACCTAGAGATGCCATATTTACAGGATGCACACTACCTCTACTGTTCGTAATTTTGAAAAACTGAAACCATCCAGATGTCCATGAATAAGGAGACAACGTGCCTGTCATACCCCAGGCCCTGTGGTGTTAGCCATGCTATTATGGTCAGCAATCACACCCTACAAGCTTTATTTCTTTACGACTGGACATTTTTGCAAATGTACATATTTGAGTAAAAGCAAAACTTAAAAAAAAAAAAAAAAAAGTGTGCTTTGCCCTCCGCCAATGCCCTGCAGCGCAGCTCTGTCTCTCCCTCAGCACCAAGCCCCTGTCCTTCCAGGCACTGTAACTGGCCTAATTATGGTCATTAGATACTCATTACCACCAATTACAACAAGCTCATTTCCGGTAGGCTGTTCCAGAGCATCTCAGATGTGCTCCTGGGCACCCTCAAGGGCCCTCAACTGGCGACTGGGAGGCCTCGGGGACGAGGAGCTCAGCTCAGGGACACTGTCTGCTCGAGGCACTTAGAGGAGGAGGTAGGATCTAAAATAAAGCCCCCCAAACCCACACCCGGGCCAACTGCCAGAGTTCCTTCTGTTCCCAAATTACTGAAAGCGATAAAAACCCTGGTAAATCAAACAATGAAAGGAAATTGTGAATATCAACACATTACGTTTGTTTTTAAAGAAATAATATGGAACTGTTATGGGCTGAACTGCGTCCCCTTAGTTCACCCGTTGCAGCCCTAACTCCAGTGTGACTGTATCTGGAGACAAGTCTTGTGAGGAGGTGATTAAGATGGAATGAGGTTGTAAGGGTGGGGCCCTCATCCTAGGACTGCGGCCTTCCAAGAAGAGGAAGAGAGCCCTTCCACTCCCCCAAGCTCGATGTGAGGGCAAGGCAAGAAGGTGGCTGTCTGCAAGGCTGGAAGTGGCCCTCACTAGGAACCGAATTAGCTGGCACCTTGATCTTGGACTTCTAGCCTCCAGAACTGTGAGAAAATAAATGTCTGTTGTTTAGGAATCCCCAAGCAGATTAAGACAGGAGCATGATTCCAAGTTGTTTTCATTTTTCTCTCCTTAATGGAATAAAGACATGGCTACTGGGGGAGACGGAAGGCTCAGAGGGGAAGCCTCCTTCACCCTGACTCCCCCCATCCTGCTTGCCTACCCCTTCACCCATTCAGGAGTGCTCTTGCTTGGCAGCAAGATCGTGTTCCAGTTTCCTCCCTGCCAAGGTGGGAGGTTGGACAGAGCCATCTCCGGGGCCCATACCCACATGGGAGGAAGTCTAACCCATGAGCTGAGCCGCAGAGACCTCAGATGCCCCTAACTGGCCTGACCACATGGCTGTGAATGTGTCACCCTGCAGGCTGCAGCTCCCAGCTGTGAATGGAGCTGCCCTGAGCTCCCAACGGGATGGG